GCGCCGCCCACCTGGCCTCCAGGGACCCGTCTCCAGCGCCGGAAGCGCCAGCGTGGCTCAGAGGGTGAACACGCCGGGGCTTCTCGGCCCGGGGACGCAAGCTCACTGGCCAGGAGCAGCCCGCACGGCCACGCGCCACCTAGTGTTTCTTGTAGCGGTTCTTTGGGGTCTCCCCGCACCCCGTCTTGTCACAGTTGGGGGCCCCGGGGTTCTTGCCCAGCCCGAGGCTCCCCAGGAGGCCGGGGAGCTCCTGCGCGATGGCCCGCTCGATCTTGTCCAGGAAGCAGCCGCCCATGTAGGAGCACAGCTGGGACAGCAGCTTGAAGCTGGAGACGGGGTTGATGCTGAAGAAGTCCTTGTAGGCCTCGCGGTTGGGCAGGTCGAACTTGCTGACGTTGGTCTTCGCCAGGATGGTCTTGAAGATGTAGAACTTGTCAGGGTCCTCCACGATGTCCTTGAAGACCATCTCGCCGTCGCTGAAGAAGGTCATCTTGTCCTTGTAGGTCTGCAGGTAGCGGTCCACCAGCAAGGCGTGGATGCGCACGCGGATGGCGTGCTGCCGGATGAAGGCGATCTTGTTCTCCAGCCGGTTCTCGATCACCTGGTTCAGGTCCTCCAGCAGCGAGATCTCCTCCTTGAGGAACAGCTCCCGGTGGGTGTCGGCCCTGTAGTCCTGGGGCCAGAAGGAGCTGACGTAGACGCGGGGGGGCTCCGTGACGTTGATGAGCGGGGCCAGGCTCCAGAAGAGTGCCCCGTAGACCCGCATGAGCATCTGCGTGGCCAGGTTGTCCGCCTTGTTCAGGATGATCCTGATCTGGGACTCCCGCCCCTTCAGCTGGCGGAAAAGCGTCTCCAGCTCCAGGCCCACGTCCAGCTTGGTGGGGTCGAAGACCACGAAGATGAGGTCGGCCCTGTCGATGAACCACTGGCACACGTCGTTGAAGGGGTAACCTGGGGAGGGCGGGCGGCGGGAGGTCAGGCCGCCTCGCCCAGCGCCTCACCCCGCCTTCCCGAGCCCCCGGGCCCTCCCACGAGCCCTTCCTGCCCCCCGCATCCACAGTGTCCCCCGGACACCACATCTGAACCTACAGGGGGCTCCGACTTCCAGGCAAAGTCAAATTTTTTTTTGGAAGTGGAGATTTTCCTTCGGGCCGGAAAGATCTGGGCGGGTCAAAGCAAGAAGGCAGAGCGCGGAGGACTTTGGGGGGGGGGGTGTTTTCTGGGGGGGGTTGGCCGGGGCTGGCTGCCGCTCACGCTGGAAGCGCCTTCGCGCGCTTTAGCGCATTAGCTGCGAGATGGCGAGAACGCCCGCCCGTGGTTTAGGTGACGAGGACGCCATGGCTGTACACAGGGAGTGGCCAAGTAAAACCGCCAGTCCGAGCTGGGGCCCCGTGAGCTGTAATTCCTTCGTTTTTATTTCCAAAACGGGGAGACTGACTACTTGTCTTGAAAATCTCTCACGACGATCAGCCAATAACGCCAAAAATGCCGAGTCTCCAGTCGGAGTGCAATTAAAGGGAATTCACCGTGACACGGATGAGCGATAACATGGCCAGCAGTGATGATGCGGGCCTGGGGCTCCCCGGTGCATGGGGGCAAGCTCCACGAAGCTGCCCTCCTCGCTGCAGGGTGAGCCCACCCCGGCCAGGGAGTGCCCAGGGCGCGGCAGACCCCGCCTGTCTCCTGCTGCGCCCTCAGCGGTGTGCTTCAGTGGTCTGCCCGTTCTGCTCCCCGCTCTGTCTCTGGGGAGTCCTCTCACCCCGGCACCTCTGGGCTGCACCCCAGCTCTTACATGCATAAATAAGTTAATCTTAAAAAAAAGTACAGGTGGCCCTCCCTGGTGGCGCAGCGGGTTACAGCACAGCACTGAGAAGCTAAAGCCACTTCCGCATGAGTTCGATCCCCGCCTGCCTGCCCCGGAGGTGACCACATGGTGCGGCAGACCTCTCCTGACCCGCCCGCTGCTCCCCTCAGCAGTGTACTTCATCGATCTGCCTGTTCTGCTCCCCACTCTGTCCCTGGTGAATCCTCTCACCCTCCGCATCTCTGGCCTGTACCCCAGTTCTGTACGAATAAATAAATAAATCTAAAAAAAAAAAAGAACAGGTTCTGATTACAGCCAAAATGCGGGTTATAGCCCTAAACTGAGACCCATGTCCTGGTCACGAATCCCTGCGAAGGCTCCCAGGGGACTCATCTGCAGACAGCCCCGTGTTTCGTCCAGACTCGTGGCCTGGGGCGTCGCCTCCTGCCCACGGGACCCAGCACGGGCCCCTGGGCACCTGAGGCTGGGGGCTTCGGAAAGCCCGATACAGGTACGTGCAGAGGCACTGAGGCTGGGAAGGGCTGAAGGTGAGTTCAACCCAGGCCAGGAGCAGCCAAGTCACCTGCCCTGGGGCAGCTCAATCACGAGCTCAATCTGGGGGAGCTCAGCCCCAGCTTTCACCTGGAGGAGCTGCTGCGGAGAAGACCGGCCCTCCCCGGGAGAGCACTGGTCACCCCAACCAGAGCCATCCTGGCAGACCTGGGTGGCACCCTAGGGGCCAGAGAAGGTGCTGGGGGGGAAGGTGCGGAGGGAGGCACCCGCTTTCCTGGGTGAGCCCGGCCTCCTCCCAGCCCGCCCGCCCCGCCCGCAGCCCAGAGGGTCCCCAGCCGGCTCGCGCTCACCCCTCTCCTGCTGCTTGCGGTTTTCGATGATGCCCGGCGTGTCCACGAAGGTGACCCGCTCCAGAAGCTTGTGGGGAACCTCGATGCCAATCAGCTTCTCCAGGAAATTCTGGCCGAACTTCTCGAGGGGCGAGAAGGAGCGGGCGCTGTCCGCGGCCATGACGATGCCCTCGATGGTCTTCAGCTTGGGCCCGTGCATGAGGACCGTGAACTCGGACGTGGTGGGCTCGGCACCTGCCGGGACGAGCGCGGTGGGCACACGGCCGTGTCCGGGAAGAGACCGGCCACCGGGCGGAGGCGGGGAGCAGCGAGGGGCGTCCCGGCAAGGGACCGTCCCACCACGATGCCGGAGCTGCTGCCGGCTTTGTTTTCCTACTGTGCTAAAATACACGTAACGTAACACAGACCAACTTCGGGCGCTGGGGCATGAACGCCTCGCGGGCTGTGGGCGCAGACGCGTCTCGTCGCCTCACCTGTCCTGGCCCGTGGCCCCAGCGCCCCCGTCTACACGGGGCCTCTGGAGGCGCCAGCCCGGAGGCCTCGCGCGGTGCGCAGGCAGCGTCCAGCCGGCCGGCCTCACGGAGCATCCTGCCTTGGCGGGCGCCCGTGCCGGAGCCCGGGCAGAGCCCTCCCTGCCAAGGCTGAATGACGCTCCCCTGCGTGGCCCGGCCAGGCCCCGCTCGCCACCCGCACGGCCGGAGGGCTGGCAGGGAGGCCGGGGCTGTTCTCGCGGGGGGTGCCCACCCACGTGGCAGCGGGACAGCGGCGGCAGGACGTCTGCGTACCTGTGTAGAGCTGGTAGCGCGTGTTCTCCAGCCCGAGGAGGTAGTTTATCATGGTGGATTTGCCAACGCTCCACGGTCCCAAGAACAGCACCATTGGCTTGGAGGTGATCTCCCCATCTGTGGGCGCAGGAGTCAGAATCGAAGTGAGCTGCTGCTGTCTGACTGTGGGAGGCCGCCACCTGTCACGCCGCACCCCAGAGGGCCCCGCTCACGGGGTCGTGGAACCCCAAGGGACCCGCACAGCCGGCGCCGAAGCTGCCATGCAGTGCCCGGTCAGGGTCACGGTTAGAGGCCCGGGGAGAGTCCCTCTGGCCTCGCCCAGGCCCTGAGGCCGGCACTGAGGAGGGAGTAAGTGAAGGCGACGCTGACTCGGGTCACATCCAGAGGAGAATAGTTCATAAAAAAAGGGAGGGGAGAGCGGCCACGTGGGGAGAGGTTCAAGCTCTGCTCTCCGGCTTGCGCCATGAGGAAGGACACGCGAGAGGCCTCTTCAGCCTTGGGTGGTCCAGACCCGCGCCTCACGGCCCCGGCCTCCGCCCTCGGGAGTGTCTCGCAACACCCCCGCCTCAGGCTCCGTCCAGCCCTGGTCTCCAGGGCCAGTCTCTGATACTAGCCTCGAAAGGCCATGGCAACTGGCCAGCACCCGAGACTGAGATGGACTTGGCAATCCTGGCCCTCTGCCCAGTGGCGGGGAGACGTCCTGCCCGCACCACTCCCCGGGTGCGGAAGTGGAAAGCAGAATTCTCCGGTGCTTTCACAGCTGGAGTTGAGGGGCGGGAGCGTGGACCAGGCCACGAGCTGCGGTCCCTCTCCGCAGTGTCACCTGCGCCTCCCGGCACCTCGAGTCCGTGATGCACTTGTGTCCCGGACTGGCAGGGGTCTCCAGACAGTGGACACCCCTACTTTCCATGTTTAAAACTGTGGTTCCCTTACTTTATTGGTTCGAAATTGAGAGCCACGAAGGGACACAGTGGCGTCTCCATCCTGGTGCCCGGCTGCCAGCACTCACGCCCCACCCTCAGGCACAGGCAGGCACGGGACGGGGTGCCTGTGTGTCTGTCCGCACGGAGGTGGACGCACGCCTCCCTTTCTGTGCCATGCTGCCCACACACTGGCCTTCTCCCTCAGAGAAGAAACCGAGTCCCAGGTGAGCTCAGAGCAGGTGCCACGCGCCCGCCAGGGCTGCCTATCCTCTCTGCCCAGTGTCAACTCCCAGGAAGGATGCCAGCTGGGGGACAGCAGAGTGCCCGCTGACAGCCACCAAGGCCTGCAGGGTCTCTGCTACCTGGCTGCTAACAGGAGGGACAGGACTCTTCCAGCGCCCTGGACACAGGGCTCCCCGGTGCTCCGACAAGGGCGGGAGGCCACGGAGGAGACATGAGGACGGAGGGGACCGGCAGCCAGGGGTGCCGAAGACATGAGGTCCAAGGCGCCAGGCCCCGAGCGGGAGCAGCAACTGGAAGCCCGCTCTCCAGAGCACCACTGCAGGGGGGTGCTGTACAGAAAGAGAGGGGGAGGGTGGGGAGACGAAGGGCTCACCCAAGGTCTGATATGCCCTGCGAAGTGGGAGAGGCTCCTGCACTCGGGGGCTCGCCCCCACCTCGGTGCCCCGCCCTCACAGCCGTCCAGAGACCCCCAGGCCAGCAAGCCACAGGGGACCCTGGGAGGGCCTCCACGCCAGCGCCAGCGGGAAGCAGGGCCCTCAGGCGTTACGGGCCGCTCGGCAAAACTCCAAGGCCTGTGTGGTTCTGGGGTTCTACACACAGACTTGGGGGGCCAAGGGCTGCACTCTGTAATGCAGCCCCAGACGCTCCTGCAGCGCCTCCCAGGAGGGCGAGCGTCGAGGCACTCAGGGCAACATGGGGCAGCCCTGGCAGCAGGAGGTCAGAGCAGAGGGACCCGAAGAGGGGTTCCCCCCAATGTCTGCCCCCCGCCTACTCCTGGGCCAGCCTTGGAGTGAACCCAGACCCCAGGGCGCCAGGGGAGCGATGCGGCCCCAGGGAGCCCGTGGGCAGCGAGGCCCAGCAAAGCAGAGCTCAGCTGACCACGCACGAGCCTGAGCAGACAAGGGGCCACTGAGGGCAGGCCGGTGGGTCACGACAGGTCTCACGCCCTGCGAGCTGGGGGAGCCCAGCTCCACTGTCCTGGCGCCATCAGCTGGGAGTCCGGGGGCCCTGGGGCAGCAGGAGGGTGGCAGGACGGAGCCCCGGGCGGGGCGCCAGGGTGCAGCCCCAGCAGCCTTACCTGTGATCTCGTGCTGCCGCAGTTCGTTGTACCTGTACGACTGCTCCAGGGGCTTGATGGATGAGTGGTAGATCTTCCGGAGCCGCTGCAGCACCGCTGGGGCGGGGAGCGGGCACAGGTCAGGGCGGGCCGGGCTCGGGGCTGCCCCTCGCGGGGCGCTGGCCAGCCTGGTGTCAGCTGGAGCCCGGCTGTGCCACGGTCGGCAGCCGCTCCCCTCCCGCCCAGACACGTCCACGCCCCAACCCACAGCGCTTCTGAAGCCTCTCGGGGCCGCTAACAGGCCTCTGAGGACACAGGGGGGCTTGTCCCCCTCTATGGCCCCTGCAGCTGGGGGAAACGGAAGCCCCTGAGAGCTGCAGGCAGTGACACAGGCGAGAGCCACGGGCAGTTAGAGCCCCGGACTCTCCTGACCTCCGCGCTGCCCTCCCGCTCCAGTGGCGGCCATCCTGGGCCGCGTGGCCAGGCCCACCTCTCAACTCTCCCCTCCTCCCTGCCAGCCGTGGCCTCCCAGGGCCCGCCCAGACCCCAGCTCCGGAGCCCCGAGTCCCGCTGCCCACTCGCCCGCCCAGTCCCGGCGCTCACCCGAGTAGTCGTCCGCCGGCTTGTCCTCGCTCAGCATCAGCGTGGTCTCGATGTGGGAGCGGTCCCGCAGCGGGGCCTCCTCACTCACATCCTCCACCTCCTCTGGGGACAGAAGCGGGCATAGGGTCAGGCCGCCGGCGCCCTCGGAACACCGGCCGGCGGCAGGCTGTCCCCAGGAGGGCCCTGAGGCCCAGTCCAGCCCCCGACGTGCGCCCCGACAGACACGGAGCAGGGGTGCCCCGCCAGGAAGGCGGGGTGCGGCGGGGTGCCCGAGCAGGCCCCGCCCCCTTGCTTCCCCGCTGCCCGGAGAGGAAGCGGTCCTGCAAGGAATGTAAGGGTTACAGCCAGTGATGGGCCCAGGAGGAACATTCCGGAAGCTGAGCGCTGAGGGAGCTGCCTCTGGCGTCTCGGCAAGGGGCCACCTGTGGGCCGGTGGGGCCGGGCACTGGCCCCCACCCGTGGGGCCAGGGCGGACACCAACCCTGCGGATGCCTGCGGCTGGCCCCACCCCGGCACCCCCACCCAGGCCAAAGCCAGGCGGGCCTGGCCGAGCCAGGGCCCCACAGCTTCACGGTCCTCACCCACTTCCTGGTCCCGGCCCCAGGGGTGCAGACCCCTCTGGCTGCCCCCGCCCATCCCACCTATGGGGTGCCCATGCCCAGCCTGCAGGGGCCTCAGGGCCTACAGTGGTGGCCTTCAGAAGGCTCTGGCCTCCTCCCAGGAAGCCCCTGACAGCAGCTCCTGGGGCCCCAACTGAGGAGGGGCCGGGTCCCCACGGTGACGTCTCCCACTGGACGCCTGAGGCTGGGACCCGAGGGTGAGCAGCAGGGACCCGTGGCCAGGTTCCTGGGCCAGGCCGCCACCCCAGTCCTAGGCCAGCTGGGGACTCGCCCCCAGCGCCCGCCTGTCCCGCCGCACGCGACTCCGCAGTGTCCGGCCTCGCGCGCAGGCGACACTGGCCCTACCCCGAGGGCCCCCCGCGGGGCCTGGCTCCTGCTCCTCCGAGCCCTCCCCCGCGCTGGCACTTCCGGCTGTCTCCTGGGGTGCCCCGGCTTCCGGTGAGAGTTCCCCCGCTTCCGGTGAAGGTTCCCCCA